TGCCATTGCTTCTATCAAATGCAACATGTTTCTTCAGTCTATTTAGTTATCCACAAAGTCTATTTACAAAGCATATGTATGATTTCCTCTGACTAATAGGTCATACAAATACGTAAGCAGTGTTTTTCAACTCCTAACTGTAGCAAGATGAACCATCAATGTTTATATTGTGCCTGAGTGCGTAATGCAAAAATATCATCCAGAGACTATATATTTTTAAATCAAAAGTCTAGCTTTACAAAGTCACACACAGTATGGTCTTCTATTGTAAATATACTCTCAGTATAGGTAGACATGTTTCTAATATAGTATGAGTTGTTAAAGAAAAGGCTGAGATATAGTCACCAAGTGTTTACTAATAACATAAACTATTGCAAAGTTTGAAAACAATGATCAGGCCAAATATACATGAAAGTTTGAATGGAATGCTGAGGACTTAGTGAATGCTGAAACATGACTCATGTAAAAGTCTGCTACTCTGGCCTGATGCTCCTCAAGTTTCAATGACCCCTTAAATGTCCTCAGATGCACATGCAGTTTATGTCACTGACCACTGTTGGTCAAAACCATCATTGGATGTGCTCATTTTTCGAATTTGGAGTATCCAGTTGTGCCCTACCCTGACACAAAGCTTAGAGGTCTTTCCTGCAAACTGTAAAATCATGTAAAAACAATAGGATCTCAGAAATACCACATTTGACAATTGGTCACGAAAGATGTTAGCACCTCAATAAAAATTAGAATTGTTCACTGGATATGCCAAAGGAAAGTGGAAAAAAAATGAAAAGGTATGCTCTGTTTTTCATTTGTTTGTTTTTTCCTACCAATCACAGTTCTCCTCACAGTGTTAGACTTTTAGGTCACTCTGATGTGGCAGTACCTTATAGGATGAGGGGCCAGTACTCGTTTTTTTCATTTGACCTTTGCAGTCCACATGGTCCAGTTAGTTGAAGCCACAGAATAAAGACCAGAGAGAGCAAAATTATTGCTAAAGTGCAACTCTATTAGTAGAATGCAATTAACAGGGCTAATGAATGTGTATGCCAATGTCTTATTTTTTTTCAAAACCAACATCATCTAACAACATATTCTTTCAGTTTTCCCATAAAACCTGCATTGAGAATGATATCATGGCCCCAGGCAGGCATTTACCAGATTGAATGTTTTGCTGATCTGAACACCACCTGTGTTCCAATTTTTTGGCTAATACATGGTTTTGTATTTCAATATGTTCTCATACATTAAAGAAGTGAAACACAATTATACGTTATAGAGTTTATATGCATCATGATAATATAATTTGAGAAATTATCTCTATAGATTATGCCAACAAAGCATTCTTAGGAAGATTTTTTTCAATGTCCTAGCCAGTTAAGTTGATCTATCTGTTTGATAATCTAAAACTATAGATTGTTGGAAAATGAGAAAAATAATAGGGAAAACATACAAGTTCCTTTTCTGTGTGTCTCAATGATACATTATCTTGAATTTGGTTCTATTAAAGCTTTAGATGACCATTTCTGTACACATGGCTATTTCATTTATTTAGTAGTTTTGAAATGTTAGCAAATATATTGTATTTGTAGAGCATCATTTCATTATAGATTATTAATATTCACCAATCATGCCAATGAGATTATATACTCTGCCACAGACTACTAGAAAAATTTGATCATTATTAAATTCAATGTTATTTTACAGTGTGAACTCTAAGTAATAGCACAAGTTCTGGACTTTGAATCTGGCTGCTGTCCTCACTCGAACCATTACAATGACCTTGTTAACAAGGAAGGAATCAATGGGGAAGTATCACAACCAGAGATTGGCTGCGTGTCCAAGGGTGCTTTGTCTTATTGCCAGGATCAGACTGTGAAATCACAGAGGCAAGCTGATGTCATCAGAGGCAACTCTGCCTATTTCAAGTCCTAGAATCACCCCAGGGGATTCAACAGTAGTAGAAAAACATCACATTCTCTTAATGGACACCCCTTATTTGTAGAAACATTATGACTATTAACATTTGTTATACAAACCCAATTTATTTGTGCTCATCTGTAGAATCCTACAGACACTAAAGACTAAATGATACTAATTTTAGGAGGTGTTTCTAAACAGACAAAGACAACGTTTGGTTTTATTATCATTTGTATCCCTCAGAAGTTGTGTGTACACAACTTTCATCTAATACGTCAATGTCAACTTGTCCACGTTTCTCGATGAAGTGAAAGAATCTGATTCTTGGCTGTGTCTTAATGCCTGTAGGAAGCTTCTAGGCTATTTGTGTACCCAAATTTAAAACTTGCACCTTGTTTCATTAAATAAGTGTTTTTCTTATTTGTGACTTGGACAAATTAGTGTTAATGTGATGTAAAAGACCTATTATCATAGGTACAAGTAATGAACACTATTAGTTGTGAAAGATTAAAATTTCCTTGGAAAGAAAAATGATAGTATCAGAATAAGAATACATGAGGAATATATACATATACACCTGTTTCACACAGAAAGCTTTCTGTAAAAAAATACAAAAGCAACCAGTGCTGTATATTATGTAAACTCACAAAGTGTAAAAGTGTACTTTATACACAAACATGAAGCATAAATTAAAAAGTAGGACAACAGCAAAACATTTTAAATATAGAAAAATTTGCACATATTTTTGTTAAATAAGAATAAATAATTTTATCAACAAATTCACATACCAGTTGCAAAAACAATAAATTACTTTTTTTCAGTGCTGCAACTTTTTTTTGTTTGTGATTTATCCCTTAATTCCTAGTTTAGTGGGATAAAACTGTTTCCACAGGAAGGCAAAGAAAGATAAATTTATTGAATAAATTATAACAATGCCCTTATATTTCTAAACAGCAAGGCAGGGCTTAATTTAAATTTTTCTGATCTAGAAGAAATAAATGTCATTTTCTTCTGACTCCCTTTGTACTTAATAAAACTTATTATGGAGTGCTTAGTTATGTAAGTGAGATTAGATTCTTACAAACCTGAGCATTTTCAGACAAATTCTTTTTTTTTCTAAAAAAAGAAATAGCCCCTAGCATCCTGAATTCTAGACATCTTTAAAAATTCAAGATGCAACAATGGAAAGGTGAAAGACAGTACGAAGTCAAAACTGGACTGACTTAGATTTGAGTTGTATAGAATCTTCCCTTTGTTCATAATTCTTGGTATCTACTGAATACTCCATTTCTCTGAATTTCAGTTTCCAGTCCATATCACCTTCTCCAGGAATTTAGACATACATTCTTCAGTCAATCTAGTGAGACTCATGAGAAAAAGGTGGAGAAAACTACTTAAAAGCATGGAATAGTGGTTTATTTGCTCTAAGCCCTCTAGGATTGTTTCTATGACATGTGTAAACCATCACTATCTGAGGGAAACATGAATCATTGACAAATCATATTAAAAATTTATGAGTATAGTAAGAGAAGCTGAGTAGGAGACAACTACATTTATGCCTCAATTATTATTATTATTATCATTATTTTTTGAGACGGAGTCTCGCTCTGTCGCCCAGGCTGGAGTGCAGTGGCCGGATCTCAGCTCACTCTGCAAGCTCCGCCTCCCGGGTTCACGCCATTCTCCTGCCTCAGCCTCCCGAGTAGCTGGGACTACAGGCGCCCGCCACCTCGCCCGGCTAGTTTTTTGTATTTTTTAGTAGAGACGGGGTTTCACCGGGTTAGCCAGGATGGTCTCGATCTCCTGACCTTGTGATCCGCCCGTCTTGGCCTCCCAAAGTGCTCAATTATTTTTTAATGTTATTGGGAATATAACCACAAAAAAAAATAAAATAAATTTTGTCACATTTGAGTTACTTGATTAAAATTATTTCCAAAATGGAAAAAAGTAACATTAGCCTCTCTCCTAATTCTCTTTGCACAGACAAATGGCACTAGGATTATTATTTTTTTCTCGCCTATTTGACTAGATTTGTTTTCTGCCCTTGGCATTGGGTGATCTCCATCAAATATAGGTTATCAGCCTTCTACAGGCCTCACTTCTCAAACTGATAATTTATTAAGAAAAAAAATTGCTACATCTAAAGCAAAGTCAGTCTGTGAAAATTCAAAGGTTGATAATTGGTTTTGTAAAACAATTATTTGTTTTAAAAGCAATTTCTTAAGAAAATACTAAAAACAGTGAGACATCTATTTTCCTGGCCCACTGAAATGATGTGACATAGTGATCAGTTACATAATTCTTTTATATTAAAAATATCTTATAATAAAAATAAACTCTCATGAGCTTGTATAACTCAAACAATGGTTCCCTAAGATTTTTACATGCAACTCTTTAACAATAGGCACATTTGGCATGATTATTATGAATTTTTATGAAGAAAAATTGGTTTTGCAGTGTTTCACAACAAAAGAAATCCCAGTGAAATGAAACAACTTAGATTTTCTAAGCTGTGAGGTTGGTAATGGGGGTGGGGTGTACATTTTATCATCTAAAAAGATACCTTTAGGTGTGTGCTTATAAAATAATTTCCATGTCTAACTATTCAAACTTACAACCTACCTAAACAGGCTATGGAAACAAAAACAACAACTTTCTGAAAATCATCACGTTTCCTCACTCAGACACTTACAGGTACAACCAAGTGCTTTCCAGTTGGGAAAAATCTTTAGTACAATAGGAATATACTTAGGTTTTTAAAATTAAGAAATCATTGCCTATGATGTGGAAACAGTCTTATTCATATTAACCACGTTTTGGCATTTACCACATTAACAATGATAACCACTTCTCAATGTGGCTAACTACCAAGTGATCTTTAATGTTTCTAATAAACTAAGTCAAGAAATACAAAACATTGTAGGTCTTACTGAACCCTGAAACAAAACAAATAAGCGAACACAAATGCATTTTAAAGGCTTGCTGGTAAGAGGTATACCAGTGTTGAAGGTGTTGGACATGATAGAAAACTTGCTGTGTGTTTTGTACGTATGTTATACATTGTGAGATATCAGATGAAAGCTCTGGAGAGAGAAAGTAGTTGTGAGAATACAAATTGAAAACACAGTGAAATACAATTTTTTTCCTTTTAAGTTTCCAACACAAGGAAACTAGTTTTCAGACTCTTGAGTACTGATCACACACACACAGGCAAACCCTACTTCTACATCTGAAGTTATGCATTAATTTGGCTAGCTACCTGAAAAAAATACAGGCAGTCAAAGGTTGAAGTAAATGAACCCGTGTATGTATTTAAGTGACTAGATACACTGAGATCTATTTACTTTTCAAAATTTCTCAGAAGATACTTGCTGTCAAAATAGTTTTTTGACTGAAATTTTATCTCCTGTAGTCAAAATATACTAAATCTTATTAAAACAGCAGCAAGTTCTTAATTTCCAGTAAAATATCCACAGCTCTTTCTGGAAACTGAAGGAAGTTGAAATAGCTGCAGACCTACTTTGGTCAAACACTTTTTTTATAGAAATATATATGGATATTTTAATAGAACCAAGGGATATAAAGTGACATATTAAGGGAGAATGTATTTACAAACAGTAAAAAGAAGCTACTGTGTATTATGGGTGAAAATGATTATGATGCCATTAAAGACATTCTATAAGAGGTAGGTGACAAGGGGGAGACAGTTCTGCCATCTTCAAATGTCCCCTGATTTTACATTCATCAGTGTTTCTTTCTTGTAAGCCCAGGGGATGTTCAATAACTCCCAAGTTTTTCTATATTGCAAGGTCACCACTGTCACGTGAAGCAGTGCACATCCTCTTTTGGTCACAGAGAGCAGATTCTGCCCATTATTGGACTCCTGTTGACAATGCCACTGAAGCATGACTTTCTGTGAGTTAGGTAGACCTCCTGTTCACCACGACAGCATCAGTGCTGAATCCTCCAGTTATCTTTGTGCATAAGATCATAACCACAGGCTAACATTTCTTCAGCAAGCATTGCTTAAACGCAGAAGGCCTCTGGGAGAGAGGACATCCTTTCGCTAACTTCCGGTTTCCATCCTGGCACTGCACCGTCCTGGTGTGCCAACCTGTGTCACAGGTCCTAGAGCAGGCGAGCCATGGGCCCGTGACCCACTGCAGCTGCGAAGTGTGTGATCCCACTTTATTGCTGCCATGACTAGTGACAGAGTTTACTTTTGGAGTGGACTTCTTGGGAACAAAAAAGCTATAACGGACATCTAATGGTTTCGTGGGATCTGTTGCAAGGATCTGCACTATTAGAATTTCCTTCGTGGCAGAGTAGCCCATGCCATGCAAGAAGTCGTCCCTGTGGCTCCAACCACTATAGTTCATGACTGTTCCATTGATGTCAATGATAGTCTCTGAAGTGGAGATCATGTACTTTCCATTGATAAGGTACTCACCATTTTTCTTTTTCAGGGCTAAATAGGCAGTGAATCTAGTCTGGTCTTTGGCTTTGAACTGTCGAACTTTTATGTGGGTTGCCCCTTCAGGAATCCTCACCACGTCAGTGTAGCCCTTACTGGAAGTAGGAATGTTCACAGGAAGTGGGGGGAGGTGGTTAAAAAAAAGGAGAAAAAATAAGTAAACAGTAAATAATAAACAAGTTCTCTAAAAAGTCTTCTCTTAACACACAGTTTTAATGTCTTTAAGAGATCAGTTTAAAATTGAGTTTAAGAATTATTTTTTATGACAAAATTGCAATTAGCCTACAGTATTGTATACACTTTAACGGAGGTGTTCCAAATTAGGATGATGCTAGCAACCTGCCTTCATTTGAAAAAATTATACTAACTTTCAAGATTTATGAAACCATTTTCATCCTTATCAAATCCTATCACTTTTACAAATCTATTTTACATTCTTTCTGGCACAAAATGGGATATATTTAAATACAAACTGACAAAAGTATGCCTTCACTTAATCTCATATAATTCTTTAATGTTTCTCAAATTTGCCTCCACGTTAGAATCATGTGGAGATCTTTTAAATCTTTCAGAGCCTACCCACACCTCAGACCAATTAAATCCCATCTTCCATGATTGGGCACAGGCAAGAGCACTTTTGAAACTTCTCACATTGTTCCAATGTGCAGACTAATTGGGAACGCAGAATTAATTAGTTTTTGGACTAGAGGCGAGTAGAGTCTCTGCATCCCTTTCTACTAGAACTCTGGATTTTGTGGGACAGGCCACTAAATGAAGCACGCAGTTTCGAAATTGGGTAATGATATTACTAATACCATCATAAAAGGGGAATTTTTATAAATGACTTAGCAAATGTTTCTGAATTCTTAGTGCCCATAAGATATGATAGATTGAGAAAGGCTTTATGGTGAGTGACATATAAGTCTTCAAAGAGCCATCATCTGTTCAAAAAAATGGGGAAAGACATAAATATCTTTAATACCCATAAGCCTGTGAGGAATGCTAGGATGGAAATGCTAATTAAGCACCAAGTGTGAGGTGAGGAGTCTACTGTTGTCCACATTTTTGCCTTTTTAAGTAAATTCATAATAGGGTCTCTTTACTTTCCTAGTTATTTAAACAGGAATACTATTGGCTTGCACAGTTTTACTGACGTGTGGAGCTGAACTCTCAGTTCTCATTCACATGCTAAAAATCCAAGTGTGTTTCCCTTACTCCAGAGTTTCCTCTGAATTGGAAAGGAAGCTGATCGCCAAGGAAGCGTTCTATAGTGACAGCCACACAGGCGATACAGCTTCCCACAGTGTTGAAGAGAGATGATGCAATGCTCAGGGTGTTCCTTATTCTGTCTAACTCGATTCATTAATTTTATTTTTGTAGTTACAGATCAGACTTTGTTACAGATGTGTTTTGTAGTACCTAATACTAATAAATAATCCATGAAACTATAGTGGCTTCAAAAAAAGTCAAAAGGGATGTTAGAGAATTCCTTGAAGCCAGGAGTTCAAGAGCAGCCTGGGCAATATAGGGGAGACCTTGTCTCTACAAAAAGTAAAAAAGTTAGCCAGGGATGGTGGTGCATGCCTACGGTCCTAGCTACTGGCAAGGCTGAAGTAGGAGGATCACTTAGCCCAGGTCTTTGAGTGAGCTATGATTGCACCACTGCACTCCAGCCTGAGTAACAGAATGAGATCTGTCTAAACAGAAGGTAGTTGGAGATAAATATGTCATCTCACACAAAAAGGGTATGAAATGGGGATATATGAAAGTATTTGAACAAGTTCACTTTAGAGTTGATTAGTGGCAGTGTTGGGCTTAAAAGCCAGGCTTGACTGGATGCCGTGCTCACGCCTGTAATCCCAGCACTTTGGGAGGCCGAGGCGGGGGGATCACCTGAGGACAGGAGTTCCTGACCAGCCTGGTAAACATGGTGAAATCCTGTCTCTACTAAAAATACAAAAAGTAGCTCGGTGTGGTGGCCCATGCCTCTAATCCCAGCTATTCTGGTGGCTGAGACAGGAGAATCGCTTGAACCTGGGAGGCAGAGGTTGCAGTGAGCCAAGATTGCGCCACTGCACTCCAGCCTGGGCAACAGAGTTAGACTCTGTCTTAAAAAAAAAAAAAAAAAAAAGTCAGGCTCTTGACTCCCAATTAGTGCTCTTTTTCACTACGTCCCCAGGCATAAAATCCTGACCCCTGCCAGCCGTATGTTATAGCGGTTAAATGAAATTAAATTCTGGTTATGTCCAGAGTTTAAATGATGCCCAGTAGGGAGTAAGTAAAATAAAGAATAAAGGGTAAGGAAAGCTTTTTTGGGTGTTTACCCTTGTTCCTTAGAGCTTGTCTCATCTTAAGAATTAGTATGATGGTCAGCATTGCTGTAGGTCTTCAAACGGAGTTTCACAAGCACTGGTAAACCTGAATATTAGTGCCCTGACTTTTTAGTGCCTTAGTAAAAGATGATTCTCTTGATATTCCTGATTCCTTTTCTTTACATCCTGCTTGGTATCATTTAAACTCCAGACACGAACCAGCTTTCCTGACTACCATAAGTGAATGCAATTTTCATATAACTCTTACAAAGTATGGCTAGCAGGGTAAAGGAATCTTGTTTTGTTCAGCACTATCTGCCCAGTGCCAAGGGCAATGTCTGTCATGAAGAAACGTATTCATGATATCCAAGCTTGCTGTCAGAGAAGGGATGCTTTGGTCTGCTCCCAGCAAACAAAATATGTGGTGATATCAATTGATAAGAGCTGTGAAGAAACAGAGTAAGGTAAGAAGTTACACAGTAGTGGTGGGAATGCAGGAGATGCCCTCTTGTTCATGTACAGTAGCCACCATCTGGGCAGGTGACATTTGACAGAAACCTAAGAGATTCTGGAAGGTGTACTGCTCATTAATAGTGGAAAGTGTTCCAGGCAGAGGAAACAGCATCCTCATACCTGGTGTCATGTTTTTGAAGTGCCACAAAGTCCATTCTGGTCAGAGCAGAGCAAGAGAAGGGGACAGTGTAGAAAAGACACAGAGGAGGGAAGGGGCCAGATCTTTTAGCACCTTGGAGATTACAAAACAGTCTTGGGCACTGACTCTAAGTAAGATGGAAGCCATTGGAGGCTATTGATCAAAGGAATGCAATGATCTGATCTAGGTAATAGCCATGGCTTTCCTTGCTTGGTAAGACAAGATTGAGGGGCAAAGGATCCAGAGGTCACGAGAAGACTGCAGTGTTAGTCCAGGCAAGATCTGATGAACACTTGGATTGAGGTGGGAGCGGTCACTGTGGTGAGGGGCACCCAGATGCTGGAGATGTGGTGGAAATAGAACCGACAGGATCTGGTGATGGATGGATGTGGGGTGAGAGAAAATGAGACATGAACCATGACTTCAGAGTTTTGGTTTCAATAGTAGAAAGACTGAGTTGCCATTTACTGAGATGAGGAAAACTGAGGGAGGAGCAAGTTAGGATTAGGGTCATATTGTGTAGGCTTAAACTTGATAAAATATTTTAATATGTATGATCTCATTTCACCTTCACAACAGTTTTATTAACCGTATGATAATAATTACTAGGATTTCCACTTTACTTTTGAGAAATCTCACGGTAAAGAAATTAGGTGACGATTCAAAGATCACATGTCTAAGCAATCATTGAGCCAAAGTTTGATTACAAATATTCCAGTATGAGATCAATGTTCCTTTTTATAAACCATATAAATTACTATGGCCTTCCTAGGTAATAACTTTGAACTACTCAAACAAGTCATTTGTACCATAATATAATCTTGGTCAAGCCAATTTTCCAGTGGTTACATTGCATACCACTTGTTGCTATAATGAATTTCTTCATCTTTTCATGTGAAAAAAATGTGCAGATATTAGTTGTCAACACAAAAATACTTAAAATGCTAAATTTGGCAATTTGAAAAGTGGTTTATAACTTTATATAAATCAGAATATGTACCATAAAGTGTATAAGGTATTACTTTCTAAAAGTAATTTTGTTTCTAATCTGATTCCTGAATTCTCTCTCTCCCTCCTTTCCTTTTCCTTTCTTTCTTTTCTCCCTCCCTCCCTTTTCTTTCTTTCTTTCTGTCTTTCTTTTTCTTTCTTTCTTTTCTCTTTCTTTCTTTCTCTTTTTCTTCTTTCTTCTCTTTCTTTCTCTTTCTTTCTTCTTTTTTTCTTTCTTTCTTTCTTTTTCTTTCTTTCTTTCTCTTTCTCTCTCTCTCTCTCTCTCTCTTTCTCTATTTTTTTTTTTCAAAGTGACCTGTGCATTCTAGGATTTCAGTTATGGTGTCTGTTCTTCTCTGGCATTCATTAGCCATGGAGAATTGGCTAACTCCTATATTTTCAGAGTCCATCTCATTTTTAAAACAGAAGGTTGGACTGATCATCTCCAAGGTGTTTAATACCTTTGAAACATATAAAAATGCAGGCTATAATTGGGCATGCAGGGTTTTTGACATAGATGGTCTAACACAATTGGGTGAATAATTATTTCATTAGTAAATAGAATTAGTAATGCCTATTTTAACTCAGAATAAATTTTTCAGCCATATATTTTCAAATCGCATCAGAGGAAATTTATAGTTTTTACATTAACATTTTTAATTATTTTAATAAATCCTATTGTTAATTTGGTTTGCATATTACTCTCAAATTACAGACAACAGAGCACGTACATCAAGAATACAGATACTTTTGACTAATAACACTCAGCCTAAGAGTGGTTTGGGAAGAAAAGCAAGCCTGTGTTTTACCAGACTCCAGTCATCTCAGTCATCCTACCTGATAGCATGTTTTATGCCAGAAATTGGTACTTTATAAACTTGAATATTTAAAGCAAAAGTGTAATCTAGGACCACAAGAGGAAGCAGGAGACAGACACTGCTGCATGTATTTCTTTAGAGAGTAGATATAAACCAGGATACTTCACTAGGATTGTTACCCACACCACTGCCATGAACTTACATTTTGCAAGGAGAAATGTTTTCTTAAGGAAAACACAGTGTAAGGAGAATTTGTTTTTGAAACTACAGTTAAGATCGAAACCAGCCAACCTTATCTAAATTATGTTTTAGGAATAACAATAGATCTGCAACATATCACTAAAGTGGAATGTCACCCACTCTTTCTTTTCAGTTTTCCGACTCTGCCAGCTATTGATTCCCATGGCTACTGCAGTTTATCTGCTTCCAGAGGCGTCATGAGTTATCCCTGAGCAACCAGAGTTTTATTCATCTCCTGTCTCTTCCTTCTCATGTTTAAAATGTGTTTCTAGAGCCACGTTAGACCTCCTTGTACACATAGCTTAGGATGTAATATGGACCCCCCTTTATCAATTTTGCAAGCGTCTAAAGCTTTGTTGAATTCACACAAAGGCAAAGGTTCTATCATTACCTTTTCTTATTAAAGGTTCCAACAATCTTTGTACAGCTGGAGTTGTCTCCTCCACATACCCCGCACTTGTCATACTGCAGCTTTGAGCCGATGATGCTGTCACAGCCAGTTCTCACACACTTCCCCCGGACGCAGACAGAATTGCTGTACGGCCTACATTCAGTGCCGTCGGTCACCTGAATCACGGCAAACACATTAGCAGTGGGAAACGTGTGCGTCAGTATTTGCTCCTTTGGTCAACTAGTAAGGTCTCATTTGTGATTTTTTGAGTTTGATGGGCATAGACAGTTCATTGAAAAAAAAAAAAGCCAAAAAACATAGTTTCTGGAAGTATCTAACTGAAAAATCCTTGGCATATTGCCAGACAGCAGATTACAATAAGCCTAGGTTACACAGTTTCTCTCTTAAGCTTACCTCTGAATGTGTTAAGAGACACAAGGTACTTATCTTCGTTTTTGTACGCATAATACATTCTCGCGATACCATCTTGGCTTTTTATGATAGAAAAAAGTGTTTTGGACTTGGGGTTTTGGACTATCATTTGTGTGCAGAACTGAATATGAGCAGGCTTGAGAATGCAAAGATCCTTCTTTGTTGCATAGTTGTTATGATAATGACAAATTCGAAAATCTAAACTTGCCATTCAAAACTATGTCATGGTTGGAGAGCATTCCCTATTGTGTGTTGAACTGTCAGACACCGAAATAGAGGCAACCAAATTAGTATAGAAAAAGGAGTCTGGAGAAGTTAGATGAACGGACTTACTGGAAGAGACTGAACATATTTTGAATAAAGGGATTAGTGTATAGTTTAAAAGCTAGTTATAAAACAGTGTGTACATAGATTGTGGCTTGTGCATGTGAGTATAGTATATATACACTCACATACATAAATAAGCCTGTAAATTTCATATGTATGTATATAGAAAACTCTTTTTATGCATGTGTGTATGTTGTGAATGAATGTGTGTGTGTGTGAACTGAAGTAGAATATACTTCGTCAGGTTAATAGCTCTGTAGATGGTGGTATTTTCAGGTGATTTTTATGTTTTTACTGCTGTGTAATTTTTTAAATGAAAATGCATTATTTTCTAATAAAAACACGATATTTAAAAAATTACATAAATTGGACATTAGCTTGTTTTTCAATAACATGTCATAAATATCTGAAGGCCAAGTTTCAGAGGTAATTTTTTTTCTGAGACAGAGTCTCGCTCTCTTACCAGGCTGGAGTGCAGTGGTGTGATCTCGGTTCACTGCAATCTCCACCTCACGGGTTCAAACGATTCTCCTGCCTCAGCCTCCCGAGCAGCTGGGATTACAGGCATGCACCACCACACCCAACTAATTTTTGTATTTTTAGTAGAGATGGGGTTTCATCATGTGAAAGCCCGCCTCGGCTTCCCAAAGTGCTGGGGTTACAGGTGTGAGCCATTGCACCCAGCCATAGGTGATTTTAAATGTAGCCACTGTTTATAAATGTGTAAATTGCTGTATAACACTGACCATAAGAATAAAACTCTGCTATAGATTTAGAAAATGCTCACTTGTGAAAAATAAGTCATGTTCCATACACAAATATTATAACATACGTAACTAGAGGGACATTGATTCATATTAAGGGTTCTTGACTTATTCAAAAGCCTCAGGCAAAGGTATATGATCTTGAAACCCATCTCCATGGCTCATCAAAGGAATTCTTAAGTAAATCACAGAAAAATAGAAAAAGTTTTCTTGCCTTGGAGTCTCCTTTACAATGGTGCTTAGGAAATACTAGTTGTTTTCATGGTTACTTTAAAGTTAAGGCCACACTTTGCCTTCCTTGACAGGGAGTTACACCTTTTAAATATAGCTTTTAAAACATTTACTTGTTCTGTTTATAAAATAATTTTTATTCATTGTGTAAAGTTTGAAAATATAGAAGTTATAGAGATGAAAATAAAAACCTTCCAAAATCTAACTGACCCCAAACTAATAGCTGTTTACATCTTGCGTCCGCAGGCTTCGTTCTACCAAATAATTTCCACCAGTACGCCCACCACTTCTGCACAGTTGGTGTGTAGTTACCTTTGGAGAAAATACCACATAGTAGCCAGTGCCCTTGGCTCTGCAGGTCAGCTTGCACACATCCGCTGGCAGGACGCCTGCATATTTGGGAACCCATTCCACAAAAGTTTTGACTCCTTTTGCATCAGACTGATAGCCGTTTTTGGCCTCACACTGTTCATGACGAAATGATTTACCTAGAAAACAAACATGTTACAGTATTATTTGTCAGTTCTGAAACTTAGATCTATTCTTGTGGGTTTAAATAGTTAATTTTAAGGATAAGATGCAAAGTTGTTTTTTTTTTTTTGCACAGTCTCTTTACTCAATAGTACTGATGGATTTTATCCATACATAGAGTTCAAAATGGTGATTATTTATTCCAGTTCTCTGAATACTCTGTTGCTTATAATAATAACTTAAACATCACATATATGGACGGGCATGGTGGTTCCTGCCTGTAATCCCAGCACTTTGCGAGGTTGAGGCAGGCAGATCACGAGGTCAGGAGTTCGAGACCAGTCTGACCAACACAGTAAAACTCCATCTCTACTAAAAATACAATAAATAAATAAATAAATAAATAAATAAATAAATAGCAAGCCAAGTGTGGTGGTGTGCACCTGTAATCCCAGCTACTCAGGAGGCTGAGGCAGGAGAATCGTGTGAACCCAGGAGGCGGAGGCTGCAGTGAGCCAAGATCGTGCCGCTGCACTCCAACCTGGGCAACAGTGCGAGACTCCGTCTCAAAAAAAAAAAAAAATTCACATACGTGTTTGTTATTGATCTGCATATTGGTGGAACTGCGCAGTCTAAGATTAATATTATTTCCCCAGCTTCCTGTATTAATTATTGCTAGAATACAAATGACATGTAGCATGTGATGGTTGCTGACACTTGGGAGCAGCGTACCATTGGGCGGGCAGGGCATGAGACCGCAGGAGCGGTAGATGGCTCTCTTCCCTGTGCAGTAGCGTCCGTTGTTTCTGGGAGCAGGGTTATTACAGTGACGATAGGCAAACTGCACTCCTCCTCCACATGAGCGAGAACACTGGCCCCAGGATCCCCAAGACCCCCAGTTGCCATGGCTTGATGTCTGAAAATAGAAGATATTTTAACTCAGATGAGAGAAAAACAATCAAAATGTGCATTCGGAAATCACTTGCTTTTAACGACAAAGTAGAAACTTTGTCACAGACAGTTATATTTTCACTGAATTTAACATGATCATGCTTTGGAAATGCAATACATTTCCAGTGTTAAGCAATCCATCTTTTCTACCACCCCCACTCCAGCACTAGAAGATCTGAAAGCGTCATCCTAAGTACTGAGCACACCACAAAGATTACCTCCTGGTTTCTATGGGCCATTGTAAATTATGTCTTCTGATTTGGTTCATCTCTGTTAATATCACTGAAGCATGGTAACTTTTTGTCCACTCTGATCTTGGATCTTTATTGAAACGTATAATGCTGAAGGATCTGCATGGCACTGGTCATTATTTGTGTTTGCATCTGTTTAGCAGTAAAACTCTGCGGTCCCTTTGTTGACAACCCACATCCTGTCTGTGACCGACTCCATGACGTACATAAATGTACCGGACCCAACTTGGTTTAATTCCTAATTAGATGTGACAGATACTGAAGTGCACTCACGGCATACATACAGACACACCCCTTAGGGAAGGAAGAGCCCTTTTATGGCAACCCAAGTCTATTTCTCTGGAGACATTCCGGGAGGGAGCTTAGAGATTCCGAAAGGAAGAATCTGATCAGCTGCTTTGCTGAGGGAATCTGTGAATTGCCTCTGGCTGACTGTGTCAGGTTATCTGATGGTGCATGGCTGAGTGATGCTCTGGAAAGATACAGGCAATGGGCACATGATAATTCTCTTCTAGGGACTTTGCAAATCTTGTGGGTTGAGAGCGAGCACCTATTTTACTCAGGTCTTGAAAATTAACAGGGCAGTTGCTGATCTGAAGTGGACTGTGTATATGGTGGCAGATGTGTTTTCCCGGAGCAGCCATAAGTTACTTTAGCTCCTAAATTTAGATGAACTTATTGTCAAGGGGAAAAAAGTGACCATTTGGAGCTCACCAAATATGTACATGGACCACATGTATCAGCTCTGCTATTACCTCCTTACTGAATTTAAATACTTACATTCTGATAACTTCAGCAAGAGAAGTTTGAAAGTAAACTTCCCAAAGGCAATGAATAGGCTCCTGCCTGGGGTCTCAATTAGACAGAATCTGAGTTACATGAGTATTTGTTAAAAGATGTAAACCACAAAGAAATCCCTGGTATCTGCATTTTCCCCAGTAAATCTCAGATCACTGAGAATGGCTACTGAGAGTAAAAGAAGCCGTAAATAAATCTCAAAATGAAAAGTTTTTAAATCAGAAAATAAAACCTTCTGAGGACAGTGACCATACCCATCACAAGAATGCACTTCACTTCTTGGGCCTCCAGGCCCTGACTGATGAGAAAATCACTTACTGAATAATATTTTTTCTTGGTTTTGTCCACACATTTGCCCTGCAGGCAGATTCTCCCCTTTCCACAAGGCGTCCCTTCCACAGCAGGCAGTTTCTTGGTAAGACAGACCATCTGGCCCTGGCGGACCACGGCACACCACAGGCGAGCGCAGACATCCATGCCGGGACACACGGAGTACTCGGGGCCGAATGTCAGGTTACACTGCTGAGTGGCATCATAGGTCTGTCCTGGGAGTTCTTCGGGGCCCAGGATCTGCTTTCGTGGTTGGTCCAGCAAACAGTTACCTACAAGAATATCTGAGATTGACCACGGCTCTGTGTTTAGGTTTCAAACCGCTAAAGTCATGGATCTAAAAATAAAATGCCCCGGCTGGTGTTGGAGCACGAGGCACCTACGGATCTGCAGTGTAATGCTCTGGAGAGGGACTCCACGGGGACAAGGCTGGGCGCCTCCTGCGACGCACGATACCCTCCAGGGTTCTCAGGAGTGATACGCTCCGGAATGTCTGTGACAATAGCGGTGAGGTTGGCAGGGGTGTGATGAAATAAAATGATTTTGTAATAATTACTTGTGAAAATAGCCGTTGTGCTAAGGCGCTAAACGAAATTGGGATGGACCTAGAGGAAATCAGATGGTGAATTTTAATAATAATAATAATAATGATAATGAAACATTGACTACTTCGAGAAACAGAGTTTGCCTTTGGCACTCTATTTGTATAACCCATTACCCATTTCTAACTCACCCCTTCCCCATGTGCCTATCACATGTCTCCTTTCCACTAATTCCATAAATAATAGCCAAGCTGGATCCTCATTCATTCTTACAGTCACTCGACAAGCATTTGTTCAGCACCTACAATGTTCTAGAAAACACACTAGGTATCTGAAATACAGAAAAATGACCCAGATCTACCTTTGAAGGCCTCCCAATAAAGTCAAGGAGATAAAGTATTTCTCCCAGACTGATAAAAATTTTAATAAAAAGCTTTCAAGATTCACAGAACAAAGGAGCAGTGAAAAAAGAAAAAATAGTCTTCGATAATTTAGGATTAGGCTAGTCTTTATACTCTTCTCTTTGTATCTATTTAATGGAATTGGTATTTGTTGAGTATTTGGAGCGTATCTGCTGAAGCAAGGTAGGCATCTCATTGCATCATGTATGAGGGTGTACAGGCAGAGGGGTGAGATGGGGAATTCATAGAAGCTGGAACATGGACGATGAGAATCCAAAACCTTAAATGTGCTTCCTCGTCCTCTCCTTCCCCTCCCTGCAAAAGCTTCCTTAAGAATCCCTGTCCAGTGAGTTAACATCATTAATTTTCTTTTGTCACACACACGTGCATGCACATTGTCCATCTGTATTTTTCTGTATTTTTCTGTTTACTTGATTTTAGGATTTACACAATTATTATAATAGCAATTAAAAATAACAAATATGTGTTACACACACTATTCTCCATTCTTTACACGTATGAGCTCATTTAATCCTCACCACAGCCCCATCAGGCAGATTCTAGTGCATATTTTATTTATGCTACAGATAAGGAAACTGAGGCCCGTAAGAGGCAGACCAGTTACCCAAGGTCACACAGCTGTTATGGTTTCATGCTCGGAGCCTGCCCTCCTCTTCTGATGCCAGATGGCTTCTGTTAGCATGTGAGTAGCCGCCTGATTGTATTGCTGAAGGGCAGCCATGTGTAAGGATCCTCTAAGCGGTGGATATTGAGCTTAATGGAAGAAACACCCGGTCTGAAGTCTTACTCTGGTGAAACACTAAATGGTCGAATGCTGCTGGCTAAGTTAGCTAACCTCTCCTTAATTTCTTTTCAAGATCTGCATAATGCTTCTCTTCTCACTGTGATACTGTACATGTGAAATTACCTAACAAAGATATTAAGGGTGACCAGAAAAATACAAAGCAATGGTAGTTCTATCCCAGCATATTTCACAGTCTTTTAGATGTATTACAGTTATTCTTTTTATTCAACAAAAAAGTCATATTCAAATCCTTATGCACCACTGAGAAATCGAATATTCAGCACATTTTAAGTATACCATAAATTTTTAAGGACTACATTCAAATTTCTTCAAAGTGAATACCTTAGAATTTGTCAATCTGTGTTGGGGGCATTATATGAAAATGAATAAAGAGCAAAGTTCCTGTTTAACTTCTGAGCCAGAAAGTTTGGAGAGGTAAAGCTTCTTAAGGCAAGCCAGGAAAAGCATTAAAAATAAGTATCCAGCCAAAGAGAACTTTGGGAGAAAAACACCAAGTTAAAAGAAAAACATCAACATCAAGTCAGTAGGAAAGAATGATAGTAAAAGCTCACTAAGCTCTGTTTATAAGACAGAGTGCGATTAGGGCTTCAGAACCCCACGAAAAACATTATCTTCATTGCAGAATCAAAAAAGAAGTACTGTGTACACCAGGAGATGCCTGGCAGATTGCTGATGTTAGAAGACTGTCAACAAATCTCTGAGTCTGCAAGAATGTTTTCCAGTTCTTCAAAAGTGCTGTTTTAAGAAACTTTTTTTTTTTTTTTTTTTTTTTTTTTTTTTAAGTTTTACTAAAAAGCACAGACCATAGGACTGGGGAACTAAATATTAGTTAGGAAGTCTTTACCATGTATGCATTCACATGGCGTGGATCTACCTCATTTTTCTGGAGTCAAAATAACTCACCACCTGACTATGCATACACAGTCACTGACACCTGTTCTACCTCACTAGTGGATGACAAGTGAAAAGAGATGTGTAATGCAAACAATTTGAAATCAGCTTCCAACAAGGAGACTTCAAGATGTGGCATCTCTTTAAAAAGCTTAACTTAGAAGTATAAGTTTTAAAAATAAGTAACACATTAGCTTTCTATTAAAAATAAGATATATCAGCGCTATAATTTTCCCTTAGAGGTCATACATGTGGAGATGACTTTTTCTTGCTTAAAATAAAATAACTTATTTCAGAATTGCAATTAATGTGTTATGCCAACATTCTCAGTACTAGGATTTGTAGCTGCATCAATTTCTGTTTATGCCAAAGTATATATGATTTCATTTTTACATTGAATTACGTCCTTTTGCAACAAAACAGGTACAAGCATCTCTACCAAATGACAGAATGATGCCAAGAAACAATAACAAAAATCAATACAGAGTCTAAGTCTGAACTCACAGTATAAAATGTTTAAAATCTAGTAATAACACATTGGATATATATTTTTCTATGTTTAAAAAATGTATACAGTTAGGGGAAGGAGTAAAAAGGGAAACTGATCAACCTTTCAGTATCATTTCTAGTGACCTCTGGAAGCATCCAACCTACTGCTGATTTTTTTCTTAACCTATTTTACTTTTATTCTCAACCACTTCTTCACATCTACTTCACATATGTTTTAATTCATCGTAGTCTGAAATTTGATCTGGGCCTTGCTGCGAACATTTTGTGTTTGGTCTGTTCTACAAATTGGCAAGTTTCTTCTTCTCTCCTTCCCTCCCTCTCTCCTTTCCTTCCTTCTTCCTTTTTTTCTTTTGTTTTAACATTGTGTATATGTAAATGGATAGACTATAAAATAAAGTCAGGCCGGGTGCGGTGGCTCATGCCTGTAATCCCAGCACTTTGGAAGGCCGAGGCGGGCGGATCACCTGAGGTCAGGAGTTCGCGACCAGCCTGGCCAACACGGTGAAACCCTAGCTCTACTAAAAATGCAAAAATTAGTTGGGCATGGTGGCGAGCACCTGTAGTCCCAGCTACTCGGGAGGCTGAGATAGAAGAATCACTTGAACCCGGGAGGCTGAGGTTGCAGTGAGCCAAGATCACGCCATTGCACTCCAGCCTGGGCAACAAAGAGCGAAATTCCATCTCAAAAAAAAAAAAAAAAAGAAAGAAAGAAAAGAAAGTCAATAGGAATGTGTGCATATTGCATATATGTTTTACCATTCATGTTAAACTAAATGCTTAAAATAAGGCAAAAAAATAAAAAGTAAAACGCTGTGATTTGAGATGAACCAGTAAGAAAACGTGTTGGCAGAATTCCACTAAAGGTGATGGAAGGAATGCCATGCCTCCAGGAAATGTAACAGAAAAATCTCTAGTTTTGTATATCTGACTTATAGTACTATTTGTCTCTCATATTAATGGTGAACCAAAATTATCAGAGTTGTTATTCTTTTTGTTGTTGTTGTTGTTGTTGTTTTTGATGGAGTCTAGCTCTGTTGCCCAGACTGGAGTGCAGTGGCACAATCTTGGCTCACTGCAACCTTCATCTCCCGGGTTCAAGCAATTCTCCTGCCTCAGCCTCCTGAGTAGCTGGCATTACAGGGGTGCGCCACCATGCCCAGCTGATTTTTGTATTTTTAGTAGAGACGGTGTTTCATCACGTTGGCCAGGCTGGTTTCAAACTCCTGACCTCAGGTGATCCGCCCACCTTGGCCTCCCAAAGTGCTGGGATTACAGGGCTTGAGCCACCATGCCTGGTCTCAAAGTTGTTGTTCTTTATTATTTTCAGTTTTTTCTTCCCTCTTTCTAGCACTACAATTATTTCCACCTTCTCTTCCTTTTCAATACTCAGATATGAAATTGAGCATGACCCAAATATTCATGATCTAGGAGAAATCAATTAATGTTCCTAATGAAACTCATCCAAAGAAGCCTAACACCACTGCTTACAATCTCCCTTTGCTTCCTCTCTTCATCTCACGACCCTTGGCCGTCTGCTTTTAGGTCTTTCCTTGAATGTCTAACGTTAAAATATAAATGGGTGCATTTGCCTGCTCTTTGATCACTCATTTTGGACCCAGTGATATAAGAATGAACAAGAGCACTTCCAAAAACCAGACAATTGTTGTCAAAAAGCAATTCAAGGGGTCTGGGTGTGAAGCTGTTAGATGCATTAGGTATACGGTTTAGCAGATGTAATGGCAAGGAAATTAAATTAAAGATTCCCTGTGATAGAGGATAAAGGAATGTTTTTAAAAATATAAGTCACCGTGGCCTTAAACTATATGTCTTATTTGCACACACTATTAAAGAGCATATTTAGTATGAAAATCAAGATACAACCATAGTGTTGGCTTTGAATTTTATTAACTCCACCTTAAAAACTGATGTTAAGCTCTCCTGGCTGGCTTTATAGTCTATACTTAACAAAAGATTCAGGGAACTGGTTTTCCAATATCATTTTATGTGCTAATTTCTGTGTTCAGTAAGTGGCTGTAAACTTAGCTCTTTACACTACATGACGAATTTTCAAAACCATCTATAGATTTTCCTTAGCAACCTATGTTGTGAGTGTTCTTGAGCTGTATCTACATAAGTGGTGGCCTTTCTCATCATCTGGCACCGTGGACTCAGGGATACAGCAGGCACAGCTATCTTTTCTGGACTCAAGGTTAGTAAGCATTTGAGAAAGGAAATTCAATAACCTGCTTTCACTGCACAATTTCTTTGCCAGTGCTTACCTTTATTTTTGAGGATCATACTCCTAGCCAGCTTGCCTAGAGCTAGCTTGTATAAACACTGCAGAATGTCTACAAGTATCTTGGCCAAGGTTGGGAGTAGGGGGGTCCCATGAGACATGGCTTCTCCTTTTCTGAATCACAAATCTGCAGACCCAGTGACTTTAGAGTGAGCACACACTGGTTTTTCAACCATAACCTAATTGCTGCATATTTCTTGTTGGAGCTAAATCAGGAAACACTCAGTACTAATGAATTTACATTTGGCAGTGGACAAGTGCTACAAATGTCCAGCTACTTATGGCTAATAATTTTAAAAATAAATCAAATGCTTTGAATTTAATTTTACTCTCTGACCTCATTTCTCCAGTATTACTGAAGGTGAGAGGGGGAGGCATAAGATATTAGACATAAATGGAATACCCATTTATAATGTACTCTTTAGGTACCATTAAAAAATTGTATATGTGTTGTGAGATTACCTGCTTAAAAAATAGCAATTGCTTTTCTGCCTTTATAGGGGCCACAGTTTAACTTTCCTAAATAATTGAAAATCATTTTTTTCTGTGTGTCAGTTATTGTATCATGCTGAAATATAGCACTAACTTGAGGGACCGTGTTGGTGAGATAGGGGTTTTGACCTTTAGAAAATGGTAATAGACCACTGTGCCTTTCATGTTCTCAGGCTGCTGTTTACAGCTTTTCTCTTATTGTCAAATAATATCATTTCTTGCTCTCAGATTACCTGTCTAAAGTCTCCCTCACCCCTCATGACTATTTTATTGCTTAAAAAATTGAGTGGCCTAGAAATTAGAAGAGAAAAATGGTAGAACTGTAAAATATGAATAAATGGGCTCTGAGTGGAAGCCTGCGTATCTTCCTACGGGTAAAGTTGGAAGGTTTTATAATAGAGTTTTGTGACATTGTTTAGTCTTCTAACAAAGATGCATCTGTTTGTTATTCTATCATCTTGGGCTTTGACTGTCTTCTTAGTTCTCTGTCACGCTCTTCAGTTGAAATGTTAAAACCTCAATCATCTCTAAAGTGGGTTTAGTAGTTTCTTTTTTTTTTTTTTTCTTTGAGACGGAGTCTCGCTCTGTCCTCCAGGTTGGAGTGCAGTGGTGTGACCTTGGCTCACTGCAACCCCAGCCCCCAGCTTCAAGCCATTCTCCTGCCTCAGCCTCCCAAGTAGCTGGGACTACAGGCGCCCTCCACCACGCCCAGCTAATTTTTGTATTTTTAGTAGAGACGGGGTTTCACCATGTTAGCCAGGATGGTCTGGATCTCCTGACCTTGTGATCCGCCTGCCTCGGCCTCCCAAAGTGCTGGGATTACAGGCGTGAGCCACGGCGCCCGGCCGGGTTTAGTAGTTTCTATGGTCACACTTTCACTTACATTGACTTAAGTCAGCTTTTTGGTTACAATTTAAAAGTTATTAAGTTATTTCAATTCATCTTTAAATAATAGCACTACAGGGAGTATCACTGTTTCAATTCTGAATCTGAGTATGCTCTTTTGAAACGAAATAAGATATAACTGAGCTTTGTCATTGTGCCACACTGCTTTTCTTTGGTTTTTGTTATTCTGAAATCACTTTATTCACGTTATAAGCTACTGATAAAATAGGATTATTTTTATCCAAACAAAAGGCTGCCTAACCAAACCAACATATTCAAAAGTGAGAAAGTCTAGATTGGAGGAAATAAATTAAATAAGTAAACTATAAGCATTTTCTGTTCAATGAATTTTGGTAACTGAATTTATTTAATATATATAAGAAATTTAGATACATTTTTATTAGTGCAAATGAATAAGATCTATTTCTATTAAAAGTATGTCCTTAATTGTTCTCTATCTTGAGTCCTTTGGAACAGAAACAGAGACATAAAAATATGTAAATTTGTTATAAAATCTTTAAAAAATCAGAGCATGGGCTCCTTTAAATATAGAATTAATGTTAAAAAAATGAAGACAATGCTGAAAGCATATTTACTGCATAGAAATTAAGATCACAAATTCCATAAACATGAAATAAATGAATCATTTCAAAATTAGGAACAAAATTCTCCCCAGCATTGTAATTAGCTGACCTAATACTTGCACAGGGAAAAAAATTTGGTCTCATTTTAGCCATAAGTATTTGCTGCCTTAGCAACTAAATCCATTCATTTAGTGATTCAAGGTTTAGCTCAACTTCTTGGAATGTGTAACGTGTGATTTTGAAATAAAATATTAATGTTATTTTATTTTCAGAAAACCTGAAAAGAAGTAAAACAGAAAAGCAATATTATGAGTGGAGACTTAAGATTCCACCCAAGAAGGACTTTATGAGACATTGACCTGATCAACATAGATAGGATGATAATAAGGTAACATTTACTTTAGGACTTTATGGGCATTTAATCCACAATGTAAACTGAGCTAAACATAAAATTACCATTGTATTATTGGTCTAAAAGAAAAGCTTCATACACTAATTCTTATTGTTGTTTCCAAGTCTTTAAATTATTGAGATTTTTTTTCAGCTAAAAAAGAACTTTTTTTTTGGTATCGAGATATATTTTAAACCAAGCTGGACCCAGATTGCTTTTTCAAAATGAGACATACAAATATATAATAATAGGCGGCTAAATCTTTACCTGTTCACCACTAATGGAGCAAGAATGAGTTAATGAACATATTTTGGCTCCACGGTATCAGAGAACTGTGCAGCCTTTATGTCTGAAATAATTTGAATTTTTCAATTGTTCTGGTATTATGTAGCCACAATTCAAAACAGTCAACATACTAAAAAGTTATGGGACATTAAGTCATAAACTTTGTGGAAGTGGGAAAAAGACAGTTTTCATAGATTATTCAACTTTGAACCCTATATAATGAGATAATTTTGTAGAAAACTATTATGATTAATAATTTCTGTCACATTCAATTTAACTACTGGTTTTAAAAACACAAATTTTAAGAGAACACAAAATAAATGAGAATATGTCCATTTCTGTAAGATAGGAAATTTCAGCTACATAATGTCTGAAGATTTTTTACAATGCCAATGCATCTATCCTCCTGTGTTTTTATTATTTTAAAGTACTAAAGAATGCTAGGAGATTTGCAACAGCTTGTTTCAAAGATTACTTAGGGGTTGGAATTTATTATTTCTAAAAATTGTAACTTCCTCAGTATTTTAATATAATTTACAGCACTAATCCTAGTCTTATAGAATTTAATAAAATATGCTGTGCTCCTGAATTGTATTGAAAGGATAAAGCCAAGAGTTTCTTTTGAAGTTCTTAAAGTGTTTTCCCATCATTGAGATTGCTTTTCTATTTCTGTTCTGCAGTTTTTACTCTGCTTTCAGGAGAATCTGCTATCAGGATAAAACCAAATTCTTCTAGTCACTGCAAATCTAGAAAGCTTCCTCTTCCAGGTTTATGTTGCCATAAAGAGAATCCAGTAGAATTGTCACCTACACCTTAACTGCACCCCTTATAATAGGCATGTAACAAATAATTCTGAGAGTCATATTAATAGCAGGGAAACCAAGATGTCTGCCAAAGTTCTCACAGGAAGCTAGTGGTAAAAGAAGGAATAAAAGCCAGACTTTCAGGGCACTAGCTAGGCATTCTGTGTGGTCTTCCACACTGCTTCTCCTTTGAACTTTTTCAATTCAAAAGCCAAAATACCATAGCTCAAATGCCACCAAGGACGTTGGCAGTACATACCCACATATGATCAATTTCCTTGGTCTTTCTTCTGACATTATCCAAACAACTATTGTCTTAGAGGGCAAGATGAATATTATGAGGATATAATGAAGTCAAACTCCTAAGAATCCCATATTTTGTTTCTCAGCCTGTGTTCTAAATGATACCTACCATGGCCATCATCCAGGAATTCTGTGATGGTGGCTGAAGTGCATTTGGACCAGGGCTTAGACGCATCAATACTGGTAAGGATGGAGGACATTAAGCGCTTATCTTCTGTGGAACCAAAGGTCTCTTCACAGAATTTGGAATCGTCATGGGAGAGGCCAAGTAGATGTCCTAAGGGAGAGAATAGAGGAAGTGTAAATAATCCGTGATTGTGTATTTCTTTTTTTCCATGACTATTATGCTAGGGCTTGATTTTTTTTCCTAATTGTAGATGAGTTCACTTTAACTGCTTTCTCACCCAGAGACGGGACCTCTGGGGAAATAACAGTTGCATGGAGTTAGTGTAGCAGTTGCTTTTGCTGAACATTTCGATGGAAACTGAAAAACTAAAGAGTAGATGTTCCCATAATTCATCTGGATCACATATGCTTAATGACATGTGGAAACAAAGCCTTATTTAGAATTAGAGTTTGCGAGACAATTGTGGGATTATGTCATAGCCCTCACCACATATCATTTGGATTGTCTAATTTTCTGCCTTCTCTGATCAAGCCCCATGAGATCAAAGTGCATTTGCTCCCATATACTGTTGAAACCTCTGTATTGAACTTAGTGCTGTGCAAGTTGCAAACACTTAATAGATGGTTTTTGAATGTCAGTGACTTATTTTCTTAGTCAAGTAAATAGGTGGCTAATAAAAGGGAGGACTAGGGGAGACAAAGAAAGATAAGTGAAATGAGGAACTTTCCTGTTTCATGCACACCTAAGCTTGCTTCATCCGTTCATTTCTTTTGGTGATTTAGAGAGTTATGAGTTTACTGTTGTCACAAACATACAGCTTATTTTGAAAACATACCCATTTACATTTTAAAATGTCTAAAATACCAATAACATGGAGTTTGAGAGCTTGAAGAAAGGACACCTGGGTTTCCCCAGTGATTGCTGTGATTGTTCAAAACCACTCAGCCAGGTAATATTTGTGCTTAAGCCTCTCAAACATGTTCTCTGCAGTTCCAGTCAAGCTAGATATTATTTTACAGAGCCCATAATCACATTCTTATAATCCAAGTAAATTGCTTTTTATTACATAAGATCAATTTTCATGCAGTCTAAGGATAAAATGATATTCCCCAACAAATTTACAATGCTATTTAAAACATCTAGGACAGTAGTTTGAGCAATTACATACTCTAAAAAGTAGACAGCAAATCATCCTAGGGTAGTGTTTTTAACAAAGCTTTCTAGAATCATACACAAACCACTAAAACAAATGCAGGAAACACTGTAGCAAATTGGCGACTACATTCTCCTTGGGTTCTTGAATGCCAAAAGCAGAAAACTTTGGCCATTCTAGCAACAGAGTCCAGTGTGCACCAATAAAACCCAACAGAGATGAAATCTTTCACTTCAGATTCCGACTACTTTGGGCCAACTTGTTAAATCACCAACACCTCATAACAAAATTGGCCACTGAGCAACTGATTGCTGTTATGGATGAAAATAAATGGCTAGGGCTTGATGACCTTCCAAGTCTCCACATTTTTATGTTATTTATTCAGATATTTACTTCAACAGTATTTACTAGGCTAACATGTTTTCTCTGGGAAGTTCTCCCACCATCACTTAACATTTTGTTTGTTCAGTAGCATAAATGTGCATTATAGTCTATACATAAAGTATGTCCCAACTAACTTGCAAAGGAAATTAGCAGCGGCTCATCTAATTTTTGAGTGGTTTGTTAAGCTTTTCAAAAACTCACAGCTCACAGAAAAAAAAAAAAAAAAAAAGAAAACCAGAATCTTTCATTCATATATTATTAGAAACGACTTAAAGTTACTTAGTACATGAAATACTTGTTGATAATGCACTCTACACTTCCTGAACTTTTCCGAGATAGAAGATTTATCAGTTAACACTGAGGGATATGGGTGGAAATTTCACATTTGAGTTTTTTCCTCTGGCAAAAGAGAGAAGAAAAGTGTCCCCAAGTGACCTCTGCAACAAAATATTTATTTGAATCCAGGTTTTATACTTAAAAACTGTGACTTATGCATTCTACTTCATATGATATTTATATTTATTTAATGAAGTAATTGTCTTTTCCTCCAAATCCATATAAATACATAGCACTTTCCATATGCCTTTTTATTATTGTATCAAGAGATTTTCACTTCATTTGGAGGGTAGATTTTAGAATTCTGATTTAAAATATAGGAAACATGGCAGACACAAAATTCACTTTGAGGGGCCTGAGAAAGTACCTACATTTTATCTTTCAAACTGAGAGGTGAAGCATATAATTTTAAAGGGTTCAATTATGTAAGCAAGTCAATTTAATTTTTAAATATTTTGGCATCATTTATGAATCTTTCGGAATGCTCGTTAATATAATATTATGACTTTTATGCTCCCCAAATTGACTCATTTTACACTGAAACTTAATTGCCACTGAAGATGCATAAAAGAAATTATACTGGAAAAAACTGCCATTCAAGCATGAACACGTCTTCATTTCACCTCAGCAAGGGGATGTGAATTTTGTAAGATCTCCAAAAGTTAGGCCGAAGCAGACTGCTTAGAGTCAACAGAAAGAGATGGACTCTTTTGAGGGCGAATGAACATTCTGTCCTCTATGAAGAAAGCCTGTCAGCTGTCTGGGAGAGGCATGCTCTCTCAAGGGCAGCGAGAGTCCTGCGCAATGTGAAGAACACTTAAGCACCCAAAGTAATAGGCAACCAGTTCCAGCGTAGCTGGAACCAGGGCATGGCGAAAGAACCATGTGACTTCCCTTCAGGAGCTGGACAGGATATGAAAGGGAAGATCAATGTGAGGGATGTTTGGATGCTCTTCAGGAAAGACGTGACACACATTCTAAAGGCTGCAAACAGCCAAAGGAGTGGTATTTTCTAATTCGAGCCCTCCAATCAATTATGCTAAGACATTTACTGTTAGCTGAAATCAGCCTTGAAAAAGCAAAAGTATACAAAAGTATAAGCAATTTTAAAGGAGTGCTCACAGTAAAGACGGCACGCTATGATACTGAAAGCTAACTTACTAGAGAAAATCCAGAATCCAGGGAATTTAAAATACAATGTCACAGCTGACAACTGGGTATTTCAAGTAGGGATTGTGAAGGGGAATTGGGAAAGCTAATGGCTTTGAAGACATCTGCCTTTTCAGGAAGAGGTTGTTCATAAATCATTCACAGAGATGTTTAAAATGAATGGTGTGGTTTGGAGATTAAGCATTTCTTGGACAAGCAGACCCCAGGAGCATTAGCAGCAGAGAGGATTAGATATCCCTGTCCCAGAGAGTAAAACAGCACACGAAGAATATAAAAGAGTGTGGAGAAAATGTGTACAATGCCAAAACTAGTTTGTTGTTTACATCAAATTGTATTACATGATGAGTTTTTAAAGCAATACAAAGCAACAGAGTTAGTTGCGGGTGAGGTTTTAGGGGAGGCAGGGGATAAAATCGAGAAATCCACATAGAATGGCAATCCTTATCCTTGGAGAAGGGAAAGATTTCTTTTTGGAGAGTCAGAGTGCTGCAAGAGAAGGGTGGGGAGGCCTCAAAGCCATTTTGACAAAGATTTGAGAAAGCTCCCTCAGTAAAATAGGACGTGAAACTCCTAGCGAGACAAAAGGCAGAGGTGGGTTCAGAGGTAACTGCTGTCAGGATTTAAAGCAGAGGTAGTGAAGTCTTGCTTTAGGGAAGAGTTAGTATTTGTGTTTGGGACCATTTATAATCAGCAGACATGCAAAAGATCGAAAAGCAGCTTGCCTGAGCAATTTTGTTTACAATACTATCTTTCTCAGTTATCCTTAATTCTTGATGATGTAATTGGAAGCTTTTCACCTAAAACCCTGAGGCAATTAAGGACCAAACACACTTGTGTAATAGATGCCCTTATTAATGGCCTCTGTATTTATATGCTAAATAAGGTTTTAACTGGGTAGGGGAGACAGAAGCCAGAGTGAAATTCAGAGAATAATGCAACCGTCTAATCCACGAGTATTTTCCAAGTGGTGCATGCTTCAGAACTGTATTTTTTTTTTTTTTTTTTTTTTTTGAGATGGAGTTTCTCTCTTGTTGTCCAGGCTGGAGTGCAATGGCAAGATGTCAGCTCACTGCAATCTCCACCTCCCGGGTTCGAGCGATTCTCCTGCCTCAGCCTTCTGAGTAACTGGCGTAACAGGTGCACACCACCATTCCCAGTTAACTTTTTGCATTTTCACCATGTTGGCCGGGCTGGTTTCGAACTCCTGATCTCAGTTGATCCACCCGTCTTGGCCTCCCAAAGTGCTGGGATTACAAGTGTGAGCCACTGCGCCCGGCCAGAACTGTATTTTGCTGTTTGAAATAATTAGTCAAAGCTAAGGTGTAAATTGTGTTAGATGATGTTGACCTATTCTTAATAGATGTTAAATCCTGTCTTAAATACAACAATCATGCTGAGTGTCTGTCAGCAAGTAACACCAGAAAGGAGTTTATTTGAATTAATCTAAGAAAATAAATATAATGATAAATTATGTCAGAATAAAGTCTATAGGGCTGAGAGTTTGAGTTACGTTGTTAGCTCAGATATAGCAAACAAATTGTCACCTGATAACTTTCCTGGTATGAAAATCCTCTTTTTGAATTGGCAAAGGGGTAAAATTTTGTAAAATAAATGTCATCGTTGATATTCCCAATACAGATTTAAAGAACACCTTGCTTTCTTGAATTCACAAGGGAATCTGGTGTCAGAAAATCTGTGATAATGTGTAGCCAGATGAAGACACATCATTTTAAAGGAAACTGTTGGTTCAGCTTCTTATTCAACCCAGGTATTACTGTACAACTAGAGCTGACTTATAACATTAACCTCAGGAAGGAAATTGTTTGTTTTTCTAAACTTTGGTCTGCAAATTAAACAGAATTTCAAGCTCTTGTCTCCTGATCCCAAACTGACCAATGGTCAAGGGGACACAGTACCACATCCTGAAAAAATGTCACAAGAAGCTCTGTAATGTGTTTATTTGGGAAAGCACTGCTCAGATGAAGCATCTGTTTCTTAATGAGGTCATGTTTTTACTTTACCTAATTTTCCAGCTGGGATTATGGAGGTGCAAGGTCTTGCCAGGGGTTGAAAAGTGAGTCAACTGCTCACATGGGATCAGAAGCTA